GTTGCCCATCACTGAGAATTCAAGAAATTCTGTCATTAGACACTTTGTTAGAGTATGTGTGCAGGGCTTATCGAGTGCTGTGGACTGATTTAATGTACTGGTTGTCCCTTCTAACCTTCATGACAGCCCTTTGAGATAGCTACTATTACTAAAACTTGTACAAGTGAGGAGATGAAAGGCGCAGTATAATAGTTTGCTGAAAATCACATGGCTTTTGAATAGCAAAGCTGTGTACACATCCGAGTCTGACAATAAACCTGTGTTCTTTACCTGCGTTCCATATTGTACTAGGATAACTAGTGATGCTGCTGAACCTTATTCACAGTGAAATATGAAGTGATCCAGCTATTTGGGTTTTGGGATATGTGCCTTTAATCCCAGTTTTGTGATTTTCAGTAAGTTACATAACATGTGTCGGTTTTTTTGCTTAAAAATGCCCTTAACAGTCTCTAAAAAGAACATTACTGTCATGTGGGTCTTTTCTCTGTCTGCAAGGTATTACTAAGAAAAATGCTACAGGATCCAGTGAGGTAGAATAGTGTCCAAAGTCCTTGCTGTGCATGCGCCAGGATCCCATGTGGTGCCACTTCTAGTTCCCACTGCTCCACTTCCCATCCAGTTCCCTGCTTGAGGCCTGGGAAAGTAGTGAAGGAAGGCCCAAAGCCTTGTGACCCTGCACCTGCATGGGAGACCCACAAGATGCTCCTGGCTTCCGATCGGCTCAGCTCCAACCTTTGCAATCATTGGGGAGTGAATCATCAGATGGAAAATCTTTCTCTAAGTCTCTCTTCCTCTCTGTATATCTCACTTTCCAGTAAAAATAAATAAATCTTAAAAAAAAAAAGAAAGGAAAAACACTATGTACACTGAGTTTTAATTGTTATTTGAAAGTTATTGAGAGTGCTTAGGAATATCTGAAATACTTGGCTTGCATTTAGAAAATTGTTTTGTTTCTAATAGGATTTTCTTTTATTATTATTATTTTTTTATTGGAATGGCGGATATACAGAGAGGAGAGACAGAGAGGAAGATCTTCCGTCTGATGATTCACTCCCCAAGTGAGCACAACGGCCGATACTATGCTGATCCGAAGCCAGGAGCCTCTTCCGGGTCTCCCACGCGGGTGCAGGGTCCCAAAGCTTTGGGCTGTCCTCGACTGCTTTCCCGGGCCACAGGCAGGGAGCTGGAAGGGAAGCGGGGCTGCTGGGATTAGAACCGGCACCCACATGGGATCCCGGGCGTGCAAGGCGAGGGCCTCAACCACTTGCGCCACCGTGCCGGGCCCATAGGATTTTCTTTCTTTTTTTTTTTTGAGTTGGTGTTTGTAGCCTTATTGGAACTTAAAAATTTTTTTTAAAGATTTATTTTTATTGGAAAATCAGATGTACATAGAGGAAGACCTTATCTGATGATTCACTCCCAAGTGGCCGCAACGGCTGGAGCTGTGGCGAGCCCGAGTGTCTTCTGGGTCTTCCCAGGGTGCAGGGACCCAAGACTTTGGGCCACCCTCGACTGCCTTCCCAGGCCACAAGCAAGGAGCTGGATGGGAAGCAGGGCCACCAGGATTAGAACCAGCATCTGTGTGGGGTCCTGGCACTTGAAAGGCACGGATTTTTGCTGGTAGGCTGTCGTGTTGGGCCCTACTTACTGGATCTTAAATAATAGTTCTGTTACAGAACCTGGATAGGTTGTTTGATATTTTGTTGAATTGTTAGCAGTTTATGTATCTTGAGCTCAAGATTCAACATAAACATTGCTGTCCTTTCTTGAAATTGTCCTGAATATTCTATTTTATGTGTTTGCCATTTAATGTCAAGGGCTAGTGTCCTAGTTGTACATACATTGAGTATTTATGTTCATCATTGTAACATGGGCTTGAATCTTATTTGTGAAGTGAGATAGCCACCTGTTTATGTTTGTATGGAGGACACTGTGTGTCAAGATGCCATGTAAAAATAAGTAGCAGTTTGAAAGTATACGGATAAATTCTTCCAAGATCATTTGGTAATGTCTGTGATAACAGGAAAGCTGTTGCTCTGTTAAAGCAACTCTTAAGTTCTCCGAAAAAAGATTAGAACAACAAGACTCCGTTTTTGTCACTTGCTTAAGGATCCTCTTAACTGCCGGTTGGGTTGATTCTGTATAGCTGGTGTGACTCAAAGTTCTGCAGCCTACTCTTTCCCATTCACACAAATCAGCCTTGACTTGGAGAGTACATTAAGTCAGCAGTTTTTGCAGTTGAAGCCAGGATATTTTGGTTTTTTTTTTTTTTTAAAGATTTATTTTTATTATTTTTTTCATTGGAAAGGTGGATATACAGAGAGGAGAGACAGAGAGGAAGATCTTCGGTCCGATGATTCACTCCCCAAGTGAGCACAACGGCTTCTTCTGGGTCTCCCACGCGGGTGCAGGGTCCCAAAGCTTTGGGCTGTCCTCGACTGCTTTTCCGGGCCACAGGCAGGGAGCTGGAAGGGAAGTGGGGCTGCTGGGATTAGAACCGGTGCCCACATGGGATCCCGGGCGTGCAAGGCGAGGACCTTAACCACTTGCGCCACCGAGCCGGGCCCGAAGCCAGGATATTTTGACTAGCCATTCCTGGTTTTTAAATGGAGAGCTTCTAGGTTTTAATGTGGCATAAAAAGGTTTACTTATTTAGATAATATAAGAAAATCTTTCATTGGGCAACTCCGAGCGCATGTTACATGCTATGTGTGGTTTTAGGGGCTGAGGAATTTTCATCAATGAAAAAAAAATCCCAATCTTAATGGAATTGACGCTAGACTGGAGAAAGGGAGGCCAGGTGAACAAATGTCAGCGAAATGGCTGAGGTGAAAGTTACAGGAGTGGATTCAAGATGCCATGCGAAGGTGGTACCTTGACCCAGTGAATGTGGAAATGTTCACATTCCTCTGCCCATGATTTTACTGTAAATGGAAGGAGAAAATAGGAGATGCTGGAGGTTGTGAAGATTTGTTTGAAACATAAGAAACTGACAGTTTTGGGCCTAGAGGTTAAAGTCCTCAACTTGCATGCACTGAGATCCCATGTGGGCGTTGGTTTTAGTCCCAACAGCTCTGCTTCCCATCCAGCTCCCTGCTTGTGGCCTGGGAAGGCAATTGAGGATGGCCGGAAGCCTTGGGACCCTGCACCTGCGTGGGAGACCCAGAAGAGACTCCTGGCTTCAGATCGATTCAGCTATGGCCGTTGTGATCACTTGGGAAGTGAAGCAGCAGACAGATCTTCCTATCTGTCATATCTCTCTCTCTCTCTCTCTCTCTCTCTCTCTATATATATATATATATATATATATTTATATATATATATGGTTTTGCAATAAAAATAAAATAAATCTTAAAAAAAAAAAAAGCCCTGACAGTTTTGAATTTGCTTGGCAGTTATTTAGAAAGCAGAAAAAATATTGATGGTGAAATGGGTAATTGTTGAAAGGGAATCTTTGAATAGTGATTTTTTTTTAAGATTTATTATTTTTTAAATTGGAAAGTCATATTTACAGAGAGAAGGAGATAAGAGAGAAGTTTTTCATCCACTGGTTCACTCACCTAGTGGCTACAATGGCCCGAGCTGAACCAGTCTGAAGCCAGGAGCTCTCAGGAATGCTGAGTCCCAAGGCATTGTGCCGTCTTTTCTTGCTTTCCCAGATCATAAGCAGGGAGCTGGATGGGAAGTGGGGCTGCCGGGATTTGAACTGGCACCCACGTGGGATCCTAACCCATGTATGGGGAAGTCTTTAGCTGCTAGGCTGTTGTGCCAGGGCCTGAATATAATCGTTTGAGATGGAGCTAGATAGCACTTGTCTAGTGTTGGGGGTTTTTGTTAAAATGTAGGCTCTGTGGGACTTGGGTAACACCTGAAATTCATCTTTTTTCTACTCATTCCTCTCCCCTCTCTTGTTTTTTCCTTTTTATTTTGTCTTTCTTTCCTTTTGTTCCTTAGAATTCATTTTTATTGAAATTATTTTCTCATTTTGCTTTTCAAGATTTATTTAGTTGAGAGAGAGAAACAGACATCTTGAATCTGCTGTCAGCTCTCCAGATGGCCACAGTTGCTGGGGTTGGGTCAGACCGGGGCCGGGGACTTCTGGCTTTCCCACCTGGTGGCAGAAGTCCATGCACTCAAGCTGTCTGCTGCTGCTTTTTCCAGCAGGAAGCTGGATTGGAAGTGGAACAGCTGGAACACAAAATGGTGCCCATATGGGCTGCAGGCCTTGTAGAGAGCTGCTACAACCGACTGCTGTTGTATGTGCCTCAAATTCATCATTTCTAAAATGTTCCTAGACAGTGTCTGTGATTCCTGGTTCCTGTGCTGTTTGAGAACAAAAACTTGTCCTTTTTTTTTTTTTTTAGCACAGCCGCCACCAGCAGATTATATTCAGATAAAATCAAATAGATTGGTTGATATGGTCAGTGTGTACAGTCTGTTCATGTTCTGGTTTTTTTTTTTTTTTTTTTTTGAGTAGAGCTGGATGCAGTCTTCATCTTTGAGTGAGGTTGTAGGAGTGCTGTAAAATCATAGGAGGGTAGTCAGTATGGAAAGTGGGATTGTGGAGTTGCAAGAAGGGAGTGGGCACTTATGCATAGTGATTATAAGTTTAAATTGAGATGGGACAACTGACATGGTCGCATGAGTGTGTCTGGAGTAGGTGGGCTGTTAGAATAAGCACTGCAAGAAGTTGGGAGGGCAAGAAAGGGGTGAGTGGATTTATGGCCGTATAAATCATGATTTTATTAAGTGGTGAGTGCTGCTATAGGTAAGAATGGAGGAAGATTTAAAAGGATTAGGAAAAGGCTTCTGTCAACACCAGAATCTTAAAATGTATACTTAAAAAAAAAATAAATTGTATACTTTTGTTAAAACAGTTTAATAAGTTGTGAACATTTATATAGCAATGTAATGAAGTGTTTACTGTTTGGGAACCAATGTTTTTGACCATTGGAAAGATTTCAATCACTGGCTTTTTTTTTCTCTCTTGGATATTACAGATGACCATGGATGAAAAATATGTAAACAGCATTTGGGACCTTCTGAAAAATGCAATTCAAGAAATCCAGCGTAAGAATAACAGTGGTCTTAGTTTTGAGGAGCTCTATAGAAATGCATATACAATGGTTTTGCATAAACATGGAGAAAAGCTCTACACTGGACTAAGAGAAGTTGTTACAGAACATCTCATAAATAAGGTATCCAACTTAACTGTTGCTTATACTGCTGAATATAGAGAATTGTTTATACTCTGCTGTGCTTTGGCAAATTCTATTTAAATACCCTAGGAGGCCTCTAAGAGCAAATTTGTAATTGCATTATAAAACCTTAGTCAAAATTTGGGTAAAACAGATTTTTTTTAATAATTGAGAAAAGGTGAAATTTATGATTTATCTTGGGAACAACAGTCTGTATAATCTTAACCACTGAAGAAGATATCAGTAATTGTTACGTGCTTACTTATTTATACATTACTTCTTTTCATAAAATGCTTTGATTAGCCCATTTTAGCTGTATTTTCTCAGTATTTGAAAATTAAAAACTACAGTGTGTAACATATTTTCTAAAGACATTAATTGAAACTGACCTTATCCATATGACTTGAGTTCTGTGGTAAATATGACACGTAATTTTTTCTTTGGACTGTTAAGATTATTTATCAGTTCTTTCCAGAAAGATATCTTTTTTTAGTACAGGTGTTTTTATTGTGCCATCTCTTTACTTGCAAGTAAAATGTAATTTTGCTAATAAAATAACTACAAATTCTTGGTTTAATATTGTTGAAGTATGTAATAATAGAGGCATACAGCCCAGTTTTTGTGATACTAGATATTCCTTTTCTAAATTTTGTTTCGGAGGGGAGGAAGCAGAATAAATGCAAGAGTAGTATAATTAATTCTGTATACCTTTTTTCTTAGATTTAATATTAACATTTTGCCATAATTTTGCTAGTCTTTTCTAAAGATACTTTTAAGTATTACCAGTTTTAGATTTTCATTATCCTAATATACTTAATAATGTTTTTCATGAGAATAAGGAAATTTTTCCTATGTAACCAGAGAGCAATGGTCAAAATTAGGCATTTTAATGTTGTGACCGAATACAGTCCATATTCAAATTGTCTTTTGTAGCAGTGATGTCCTTTTATAGCAGTTGGTTTTCTTATTCTCCAGTCAAGCCGTGGGCGTACACTCAGTTCCTCAGCCTTTCTTTGACTTTCATCACGTTGAGATTTTGAAGAGTATAGGTCAGTTGTTTTATAGACTGTCCCTTAGTTTTTGGTTTGTCTGATTGTTTCCTCATGACTAGTTTCAGGTTATGCATTTTTGGCAGGAATAATACAATAAGTGATGTTGTGTCCTCAGTGCATCACTTCAGGAGGCACATGATGTCAGTTTATCCCATTATTGGTGATGTTAACTTTGATCACTTGGTGTCCGCCAGATTTCTCCACTGTGAAGGTACCTTTTTTCCCTTTGTAATTCATAAGTATTCTGTTCAGTTATATTTTGAGACTGTATGAATATCCTGTTTCCCCAGAAACTTCCCATGTGATGATTTTAGCATCCATTGATGATTCTTGCATGAATCATTATTACTATGATGGTTGCAAAATAGTTACTTTCTATTGCTGTTCTTCCTTCTATAATTCCTTTCTCTTAAGTGGGATTATATGAGTCAGGTAGCTAGTGTCTCATGAAAGGAGGTGGCTGTATTTTCAATACAATCAGCAGTGTTTTGTTAAGTGTCTTTTGTACAGCTTTCAATGAAAATAAAGTGGATGCAAAGAGATACAATATTTTCTGAGGTGTTTTAACTGAATTGTGAGAGAAGACACATTTTGATAAAAGTATGAGGCATTTTATTTTAACTGAGCTATACAGGTGATAAATGGCTTATGAATGCAAGTGAAGGAGAGATTATCCTGGGCTGTAAAGATTTATGGGCAAGGGTGAACTCGAGGTAAACCTTGAAAATCTGGGAAGTACTTGAGCAGGGTTGGAGGTGTCCCAGAATGGCCAGTACCTTCTGATTGTATAAAGATGAATTGGTTACTTTAGGTGGTAAGTAGAGTTTGAGACTTCCTTATGTTTACCAAGATAAGTGAATTATGGTGTTTCAGAGATGGATGGGAATAGATTATAGAACACTTTGCTGATATAAAGAATTTGGACTAACCAGTAGAGAGTTATTGCATACTTTTAAATGGGTGATAATGCTGCAGGCTATTGAAGAGATTAATTTGAGATGTTTTTAACTAATTTGAGAATGTTTGTTAGAGTCAAGAGAAGAGTTGGGAAAATTTGGGTAAAATGATAGGCTAAAAAAGATTGAATACTAGACTTTCTAGTGTAAGACTTGAGAGATTTGGTTGCTGGGAACAGTACTGTCATCTGTGAAAGTGGTATGAAGTTGTGGTAGAAAACTTGGATGGGTACAGGAGATAAGCTTTAAAGTTTTGTTTGATTCTGTTGAACATTTTTGTAGGTGAAAGTTTCCCTATAAATCATTTTATTTTTTATTTTATTTATTTTTTAAGATTTATTTATTTTTTTATTATTGGAAAGTCAGATATACAGAGAGGAGAGACAGAGAGGAAGATCTTCGGTCCGATGATTCACTCCCCAAGTGAGCGCAACGGCCGATACTATGCTGATCCGAAGCCAGGAGCCTCTTCCAGGTCTCCCACGCGGGTGCAGGATCCCAAAGCTTTGGGCCGTCCTCGACTGCTTTCCCGGGCCACAGGCAGGGAGCTGGAAGGGAAGCGGGGCTGCTGGGATTAGAACCGGCACCCATATGGGATCCCGGGCGTGCAAGGCGAGGACCTTAACCACTTGCGCCACCGTGCCGGGCCCTATAAATCATTTTACATGTGAGGGAAATTGTGAGGTGAAGATGCTTCAGTGGAAATGTAAGATGTTTGTAAATGCATAGATACTTAAGAGTTTGTAGAGATGGAATCATAGAATGAGTTTATTTTGGTGCAGAGCTCATTTGAAGTCCATGTGTAGTTTGTCACAATATGCACTTTCTGTGAACTCTTAGAGATCTTTTATATAAGGTGAGAACTTGAGCAGGAGCTTGAAATGAGGTTTTGTGAGGAGCCGCGAACCACAGGATTAAACTTCAGGAGAAAACTGTTACATATTTGTAATAGTTTTAAGAATAATTTAAAAAGCTTGGTGTTGAAAGGGGTAAAAGTAGAATAGAGCTATTTTCCCTAAAGTGGATGGAATTAAGAACAGTGGAAAGGAAATAAATTTAGAAGAGTGGAATGTTTTCATTTGACAGATTGATTTGCAGGTGATAATAATGATCATAACTGTTATTTAGTGTTTCCTCTGTGATCCTATTACAAAAATTTTACTTGTATTACTTTAGCTGATAGCTAAAACTCATTATGTAATGGACTACTATTATCTGTTTTACAAACGAAAATACCTAGGTTCAGAGAATGGGCGGTTTGTGGTAAACAGCCTCGCTAGAGCTGAGCATAGGCGGTGTGGCTTCAGGCTGAGCCTTGACTTTGCTCTAGATCTGCTTTAGCGTGAATCCATCATGGGGGGTAAGGGGCTTGATATAAATCACCTCACTTGTGACAAAATTGCAGTTCTTTACATTTCTGAAGTCATTTAAGTGTTACCTTTATAAAATATGATTTATAAATGATGTCCTATGGACTTGACATGTGAGGAAAAGCTTGGTAGGAGTTGGTCTGAATGTGTGATTGTCATTTTGTTTTTTCTTAATGTTTTACAACTTGGACATAGATACAGAAAAATATCTGTAGTCGTATGTTCTGATTGAGCATTGACCCATCCAAAAAGTGAGAAAAAAGAAGACACAAGTGTGTGTGGGGGGGTGTTAATGTTTTAAGTGATTGGTTTTTGGACTCTGAAATATGGTTAGGTACGTATTGAATTCATGTGAACAGTAGCTCCAGGAAAACCATTAAGAGCTTCAGCATATTCTCTACGATAAATTTGCCTAAAATGGTTCAGTATCTGAAATTAACCATCTTCTAAGTTTGGGTTGCTGTAACATAACACAGCCAGGGTTACTTTTGCTTGGGGTTCTTGAAGCTGGAAATTTCCAAGTCATGATGGTAATTCCAGATCAAGTTCAGGTGAGTGCCCCCATGCTGGTTTTCAGATGGTCCCTTCCTTGCTCTATCTTCTTTATGGTAGAAGCAGAAATCGTCTCATGCTTCTTAGAGTAGCATTGCTTCTATTCAGGAGGACTCTGCCCCCATTTCTAATACCTCTGAGACTTTACCTCTAGATACTGTCACATTCACATGGGGTATTAAGGGCTTCATTATGGATTTAGAATAGTCCATAGCAGCTGTCATTTTGAAATAATAAATGTCCCCTTAGACCTGAAAACATATATTCAAGTTTCTTGTGCTAAATGCTGTATATTCATTGATGGTAGTTCTCCAGCATCTGAAAATGTTCTTTAACTTTTGTTTTCTTTTATACTTGTTTGAAGAGTTTCTCACTAGGACATGTGTCAGTTACAGCCTGACTTTTGATTGACTTCTTCATGTCAGATGAATAGGTTTCTAAAACCTCTGTCCTCACCCATTTTATGTTTTCCATGTGTCTTATTTCATTTTTACTACTACATGAAGGGGACACTACCAAAATAAATCTGTTCATAAATAGGGCAGCAACTCAAAGTGTTTGTCCTGGATGTAGGAAGCCTCAGTTTGTTTTCCCAAATGAAACGTAAGAGCTACTACTGTTACCCAAGAAGAATTAGTTAGTATTGCCTTTCTGTGCATCATGCCTTCTGTAGCGTCAGAATATTTGTCTTTAATTCCATGAGAATTTACACGTTTTTTGTGATTCTGAAAGCATTATTGTTTAACCTTTTATCTAGTTTTTGTTCACTGTTTTTTGCATTAGCTGAAATAATATTTGCACATATGTAAATTTTATTTGGTTAAAAAAAATTTTTTTAAGACTTATTTATTTTTGTTGGAAAGCAGATATACAGAGAAGAGGAGAGACAGAATGGAAGATCTTCTGTCCAATGATTCACTCCCCAAGTGAGCACAACAGCCGGTGCTCTGCCGATCCAGAGACAGGAGCTAGGAACTTCTTCCAGGTCTCCCACACGGGTGCAGGGTCCCAAAGCATTGGGTCGTCCTCGACTGCTTTCCCAGGCCACAAGCAGGGAGCTGGATGGGAAG